CTCTTTCCCCGCAGATCTTCCCTCGGTTCGGGCCTCTGAACGGACGGATCTCAGTGACCATCAGAGGCTCCAACATGGGGGTCAAGAGCGACGACGTGAGGAAGATCACGGTGGCCGGAGTGGACTGTTTGCATCAGAAGGAAAGATACTCCGTCTCCACCAGGTAACAGCTGACACACAACAACATGCACACCTCATGCGCCAAATTCAGTCTGTAAATCTAAAAATCATGATAGGTTTCCAAGACTACTTTGCACACAAGATGGAGGAATTCACTTTCAAGAAAAACCCTTAAAAGATTATTAATTTAAGTTTGAGAAACCGGCTCGAGATACACTTTTTGTTATATTCCATGGAATGCTCTAAACATCCCGATAGCAATTAATATCTTAGACAAAAAATCCATTAAAAAATGTCATCTGTGGAAGCCGTAGCGCTGTAAAAAGCACGACCAATCATCTGAGCCGGCCCGGCTAAAGTAACTGGATGGCCTACCTGCCTGTCAGCCTTCCATAGATGAGAGCAACACCTACGACACTTCCGGGCAAAAATTACGGCCCCGCCCACTTTTGGGGGAAAACAACGCTGTCATTTGAATGCCGGTCAATACAAATTCTGAAGTTTTTGCCAATCCGATCACATTTTTTTGAAAACCGTGGATTTTTGGATCTTCAAAGAGCTCGATTACGATGGCCAGTCAGGCAAACAATTATATTCGATCATTGGTAATCGACAATCGGTCTTGATATATGGTTAAATTAAAATCAGTAGGCAAGGCTGTAATTTCTCCAGCTGTTACTCTCATGAGCGAGGCAGAACATAATAGTTTTATCATGCCAAAAAGCTGCTGTGTCGTTTATTGCACCTCAAACATTAAAAATAATCCAGAGTTCAGTGTTTCTGAACTTCCTCTAAGAAGAAAGGACAGTAAAGAAGAGCTCTGTGGCTTCAGGCTCGATCGCCATTCAAATGACAGCGTTGTTTCCCCCAAAAGTGGGCGGGGCCGTAAAGTCACGTAGATGTTACTCTCATCTATGAAAATCGATAGCCTACTGCTATATTTAACCATATATCGAGCCCGATCGTCGATTTCTAATGGCTTAATGCAATTGTTTGCCTGTCTGGCCATTGGAATCGGGCTCTTTGAAGATCCAAAAGTCTCCGGTTTTCTTTCATTTCTGATCGGATTGGCAAAAACTTCAGAATTTGTATTGACCGCTGTTCAACTGACAGCGTTGTTTTCCCCCAAAAGTGGGCGGAGCCGTAATTTTTGGCCGGAAGTGACGCATTTGTTACTCTCATCTATCTGGGCACAAACTTATCTCGTGCCCTCATTGGTCATGTGCGCGTTCGTGTGTGTTGGAGGAGGGGCTCTGTAAGGAAGTGGCAGATTTGTTCCGGCTGTGTATTTTCAAATTCTAGCGCACTCGAGCTGGTTTCTCCAAAATGACCTACCCCACCTTTAAGATGATGATATTCATAACTATGTTTCACGATATGAAGGTAAAGCTCTTAGATGCTACTGTTGATGAAACACTACAGGGACTACAGATGTAATTCAACTAATAGCTAAATCTGTCATGAGTTATTTCTATACTTTAACTTGAGTCTTGTGTCCACAGTGTGGTGTGTGAGATCGGCCCTGCGAGGCGAGCGCCGCCCTCTGACCTCCCGTTTGAACCCTCGCTCAGCGGGGCAGTGGAAGTGGAAGTAGAGGGAGAGGGAGGGAGGACTGGGACGTCAAAGGTTTTCTTCACATATCGGGTACGTTTGAACACTGCACTAAAAACACTTGTACTTCTATTGGCTAGCGCTCCAACACATTGTACGTCAGGGGACGGGACATCTCTAAGCGGTTAATTAACCACAACAGAGCCGGCCAGATAACCAATCAGAGCAGACTGGGCTCTGGTTTCAGACAGAGGGTGAAAAGAGGTGCTGCAGCACAGACAGTATGAGAACAATAAAGAGCTTTTTGAACATTAAAGCATGGAGACAGTAGAGACACTACATACTGATATACACCTGAACATCAGCAGGAGAGGACTCTTTAAAGTAGAGACACTACATACTGATATACAGCTGAACATCAGCAGGAGAGGACTCTTTAAAGTAGAGACACTACATACTGATATACACCTGAACATCAGCAGGAGAGGACTCTTTAAAGTAGAGACACTACATACTGATATACACCTGAACATCAGAAGGAGAGAACTCTTTAAAGTAGAGACACTACATACTGATATACAGCTGAACATCAGCAGGAGAGGACTCTTTAAAGTAGAGACACTACATACTGATATACACCTGAACATCAGCAGGAGAGGACTCTTTAAAGTAGAGACACTACATACTGATATACACCTGAACATCAGCAGGAGAGGACTCTTTAAAGTAGAGACACTTCATACTGATATATATATACACCTGGATATAACAAGGTATTGGACTATCAACATGATAAATATAGCTTCAAAATATAAATAAGAGGCCTACTTTTCTTCTGTTTTATACATTGATCCATAAGATTGAATATTGTTTTCTGCTTTTTACCAAAATCTGAAAGTATCTGCTTGTTTTGTGTCTCGGATGTATTCCCTCCTGTGCCTCTGTGTTATTTGTGTTATTCGTCTTGTTTGCAGAGCTGCAGTTCGTCTCTCTTTGGTTATGTATTCTCGCGTCTGCCAGAACAAATCTGAAACACCAACAAACCAAAATCTGCTCGACACAGAAAACGCTGTCGTCTCTTTGCATTCATATTCACGCCGCACAAATAACTCCTCTCTCCGCTGCTGTCTCTTAATTCTCCCGACATTTTTTCCGAAGCCGTTTTTTTATCCTCAGAGGAATTCATATCCGCTGTGGTTTTGTTTGCCGCTGAACAAACAGGAAGCTGAGCGGCTTTAATTAATATTCCTTAAGCACAGAAGCTGATAAAAGTCCTGTTTGTTTTTAAGTTACACTTTGGGAGTTATTTTGCTTTCAATATCTGCTTTAGTTTGGATCAAAGCGTTCCTACCGGCAGCCGTTAATGTTTAATTCTCATTTTATTTTCCCTTTGTTTCTCCGTCACTGACATTATGTGTGACGGGTCTTTGATTTTAGTTAAATTATTCTCATGCCGAAGCTGTACTGGTGGTGGGGGGGGGGGGGGGGGGGGGGGGAGGCTCTGAACAATAACACAGATTGTATTAAAAACTAATTAATAATCAAAGTTAAGAAAATAAATTAAAAGTCCTCTTGAAGTAGAAAAGTATTGGCTTCAAAGTTCATTGAAAGACATTGAGATGCTAAAAAAGACATTTAAAAGCTCATAATGTATCTCCCTCTTCCTCCAGGACCCCATACCCTCCTCTGTGCTCCCAGGGAAGGGTCCAGCTGCCGGGGGGACGTTGATCACCATCACGGGGACACACCTGGACACCGCCACGAAAGACGATGTCTCTGTTTCTGTCGGAGGAGTTCCCTGTGAAGTGTAAGCAGCTCATTTGTAAACCTTTACACAGAGGTGGGAAGTCGTGGAGTGCAAATACTTTGTTACTACTTTTACAATTCTCTAGTAACCTTCTTAAATACTTTTGGGATAGTTAAACGCTTTTATTTCTCCCTTTCAGGCTAAAGTTCGGCTCTGAGATCTCGTGTAAAACGGGGAAATATCGGGGGCAGAAAGTTCCCTCGGAGAAGTTAGCGGTGGCGGTGAAATACGGGACAAACACGACGAAGGAAATTCCGTCCGCTTACCAGTACTCGGAAAACCCCAAGATCACAGATTTTAACCCCAAGAGCAGCTTCCTATGGTGAGTGTGTGCTTAAGACGTTGGTACGGTGGGGTTTTATTGAATAAAGGTGATGGTTTATTATTAGAGCTGTGGTGGGATAAAAGATATGGAAAATATAAAGCCAAGTGAGGGGGACAATGTTCAATGAAAAAAATACTTTAAAAATAAATAATACAATGTATTTGCTGAGATGAGATGAGGCTGCTCCAACCATTTGACCAACACTATTTAAATACTTTGTAATCGTTATTATTATTATTTTTCTCTGTGTGTGTGTGTGTGTGTGTGTGTGTGTGTGTGTGTGTGTGTGTGTGTGTGTGTGTGTGTGTGTGTGTGTGTGTGTGTGTGTGTTGTGTGTGTGTGTGTGTGTGTGTGTGTGTGTGTGTGTGTGTGTGTGTGTGTGTGTGTGTGTGTGTGTGTGTGTGTGTGTGTGTGTGTGTGTGTGTGTGTGTGTGTGTGTGTGTGTGTAGCGGTGGTCGGAGGATTGTGGTGTTGGGAAGCGGTTTCGATCTGATCCAGAGAGCCACCATGGAAGTCCTGTCCGCTAACGACGAGTTCTCACAGAACACCACACCTGTACAGGTGTGTGTCAATTACATAAGTATTAAAGCATGGAGACATGGCCCAGTAGAGACACTACATACTGATATACACCTGAACATCAGCAGGAGAGGACTCTTTAAAGTAGAGACACTACATGATATACACCTGAACATCAGCAGGAGAGGACTCTTTAAAGTAGAGACACTACATACTGATATACACCTGAACATCAGCAGGAGAGGACTCTTTAAAGTAGAGACACTACATACTGATATACACCTGAACATCAGCAGGAGAGGACTCTTTAAAGTAGAGACACTACATACTGATATACACCTGAACATCAGCAGGAGAGGACTCTTTAAAGTAGAGACACTACATACTGATATACACCTGAACATCAGCAGGAGAGGACTTTTTAAAGTAGAGACACTACATACTGATATACACCTGAACATCAGCAGGAGAGGACTCTTTAAAGTAGAGACACTACATACTGATATACACCTGAACATCAGCAGGAGAGGACTCTTAAAGTAGAGACACTACATACTGATATACACCTGAACATCAGCAGGAGAGGACTTTTTAAAGTAGAGACACTACATACTGATATACACCTGAACATCAGCAGGAGAGGACTCTTTAAAGTAGAGACACTACATACTGATATACACCTGAACATCAGCAGGAGAGGACTCTTTAAAGTAGAGACACTACATACTGATATACACCTGAACATCAGCAGGAGAGGACTCTTTAAAGTAGAGACACTACATACTGATATACACCTGAACATCAGCAGGAGAGGACTCTTTAAAGTAGAGACACTACATACTGATATACACCTGAACATCAGCAGGAGAGGACTCTTTAAAGTAGAGACACTACATACTGATATACACCTGAACATCAGCAGGAGAGGACTCTTTAAAGTAGAGACACTACATACTGATATACACCTGAACATCAGCAGGAGAGGACTCTTTAAAGTAGAGACACTACATACTGATATACACCTGAACATCAGCAGGAGAGGACTCTTTAAAGTAGAGACAACTACATACTGATATACACCTGAACATCAGCAGGAGAGGACTCTTTAAAGTAGAGACACTACATACTGATATACACCTGAACATCAGCAGGAGAGGACTCTTTAAAGTAGAGACACTACATACTGATATACACCTGAACATCAGCAGGAGAGGACTCTTTAAAGTAGAGACACTACATACTGATATACACCTGAACATCAGCAGGAGAGGACTCTTTAAAGTAGAGACACTACATACTGATATACACCTGAACATCAGCAGGAGAGGGACTCTTTAAAGTAGAGACACTACATACTGATATACACCTGAACAATCAGCAGGAGAGGACTTTTTAAAGTAGAGACACTACATACTGATATACACCTGAACATCAGCAGGAGAGGACTCTTTAAAGTAGAGACACTACATACTGATATACACCTGAACATCAGCAGGAGAGGACTCTTTAAAGTAGAGACACTACATACTGATATACACCTGAACATCAGCAGGAGAGGACTCTTTAAAGTAGAGACACTACATACTGATATACACCTGAACATCAGCAGGAGAGGACTCTTTAAAGTAGAGACACTACATACTGATATACACCTGAACATCAGCAGGAGAGGACTCTTTAAAGTAGAGACACTACATACTGATATACACCTGAACATCAGCAGGAGAGGACTCTTTAAAGTAGAGACACTACATACTGATATACACCTGAACATCAGCAGGAGAGGACTCTTTAAAGTAGAGACACTACATACTGATATACACCTGAACATCAGCAGGAGAGGACTCTTTAAAGTAGAGACACTACATACTGATATACACCTGAACATCAGCAGGAGAGGACTCTGTAAAGTAGAAGAAACTACATACTGATATACACCTGAACATCAGCAGGAGAGGACTCTTTAAAGTAGAGACACTACATACTGATATACACCTGAACATCAGCAGGAGAGGACTCTTTAAAGTAGAGACACTACATACTGATATACACCTGAACATCAGCAGGATAGGACTCTTTAAAGTAGAGACACTACATACTGATATACACCTGAACATCAGCAGGAGAGGACTCTTTAAAGTAGAGACACTACATACTGATATACACCTGAACATCAGCAGGAGAGGACTCTTTAAAGTAGAGACACTACATACTGATATACACCTGAACATCAGCAGGAGAGGACTCTTTAAAGTAGAGACACTACATACTGATATACACCTGAACATCAGCAGAAGAGGACTCTTTAAAGTAGGGACACTACATACTGATATACACCTGAACATCAGCAGGAGAGGACTCTTTAAAGTAGAGACACTACATACTGATATACACCTGAACATCAGCAGGAGAGACTCTTTAAAGTAGAGACACTACATACTGATATACACCTGAACATCAGCAGGAGAGTACTCTTTAAAGTAGAGACACTACATACTGATATACACCTAAACATCAGCAGGAGAGGACTCTTTAAAGTAGAGACACTACATACTGATATACACCTGAACATCAGCAGGAGAGGACTCTTTAAAGTAGAGACACTACATACTGATATACACCTGAACATCAGCAGGAGAGGACTCTTTAAAGTAGAGACACTACATACTGATATACACCTGAACATCAGCAGGAGAGTACTCTTTAAAGTAGAGACACTACATACTGATATACACCTGAACATCAGCAGGAGAGGACTCTTTAAAGTAGAGACATTACATACTGATATACACCTGAACATCAGCAGGAGAGGACTCTTTAAAGTAGAGACATTACATACTGATATACACCTGAACATCAGCAGGAGAGAACTCTTTAAAGTAGAGACACTACATACTGATATACACCTGAACATCAGCAGGAGAGGACTCTTTAAAGTAGAGACATTACATACTGATATACACCTGAACATCAGCAGGAGAGAACTCTTTAAAGTAGAGACACTACATACTGATATACACCTGAACATCAGCAGGAGAGTACTCTTTAAAGTAGAGACACTACATACTGATATACACCTGAACATCAGCAGGAGAGGACTCTTTAAAGTAGAGACATTACATACTGATATACACCTGAACATCAGCAGGAGAGGACTCTTTAAAGTAGAGACATTACATACTGATATACACCTGAACATCAGCAGGAGAGGACTCTTTAAAGTAGAGACACTACATACTGATATACACCTGAACATCAGCAGGAGAGGACTCTTTAAAGTAGAGACACTACTGATATACACCTGAACATCAGCAGGAGAGGACTCTTTAAAGTAGAGACACCACATACTGATATACACCTGAACATCAGCAGGAGAGGACTCTTTAAAGTAGAGACACCACATACTGACATGCACCTGAACATCAGCAGGAGAGGACTCTTTAAAGTAGAGACACCACATACTGATATGCACCTGAACATCAGCAGGAGAGGACTCTTTAAAGTAGAGACACCACATACTGATATGCACCTGAACATCAGCAGGAGAGGACTCTTTAAAGTAGAGACACTACATACTGATATACACCTGAACATCAGTAGAATAATTGAATTAAAATGTCGTCTCACAGCTGGATGTTTCCTTCTGTGCAGTTTGTTCAGGAGCATGTGAGTAAGAACGACACGATGCTTCAGTTTCTCTCTCCGGCGGTGAACTGCTGCGTCGACAGCACGGCGTTGAGATCTGTCCTCTGGTTGGACGACGAGAAGGAAGAGCTGAAAGGCTTCGACTACCATCCTGACCCCTCCTTCGACCTGCTGCTGAAGAACGTAATCACCGAGACCAGCGTCATCATCGTCCACGTGAGCTTTTATTCAGAAAAGACATCAATGTGCTGTTTGTCTCATGGATGGGTTACTGACCACAAAGAGACATTATTTATCTTCATATTCTGTTGACTTTTTGCACTACTTTTTATTTTGTATTTTTGTATTTTATTATATATGTTGCATTGTTGGAGGAGCTCAGGTCAGAAGAATTTCATTGCCATAGCTTATGACAATAAAACAATAAAATAAAACCTTTGAATCTTTGAATATTGAAAAAGCTATACCACAAAGGGACGAAACGTACTAGAAAAGACAACATTTAACTTCAAAAAGCACCAAATACGACTGAAAAGAGACACAAAAACAACCACAAATGAGCAAAAGACACTCAAAGTCACTCAAAGTCACCATATAGAGACAAAACAATAACCAGATACATTATCAAACAGTGATAGAGACACAAAATGACTCATAACAAAAAAAAGGACACAAATAATTACAAAGATGCACAAAATGACTACAAACAACAACAAAAGGGGGGAAACCGACCAAAAATAACTACATTGTGCATATTATGTTGTCTTCACTCTACTCTTCTTCGTGTGTTTTCAGGGTCGAGGTTTCTCTAAAGCCATGACGGCCAAAGAGGCGCAGGCCTTCGTTGGAGTCTCCTCCTGTCCCGTCAACATCCTGCAGGTGCATATACCTATAGTGTGTGTGTGTGTGTGTGTGTGTGTGTGTGTGTGTGTGTGTGTGTGTGTGTGTGTGTGTGTGTGTGTGTGTGTGTGTGTGTGTGTGTGTGTGTTGTGTGTGTGTGTGTGTGTGTGTGTGTGTGTGTGTGTGTGTGTGTGTGTGTGTGTGTGTGTGTGTGTGTGTGTGTGTGTGTGTGTGTGTGTTCGAAAGGCACCTGTAAGATTGTTTACACCCACCTGGATCCATATGTGTCTCTTTATACATATTGACGTGATAATTTTTTACTTTAGGATTGTCTATATTGTAAATGTGTTATCCTTTAATGTGTGTGTGTGTGTGTGTGTGTGTGTGTGTGTGTGTGTGTGTGTGTGTGTGTGTGTGTGTGTGTGTGTGTGTGTGTGTGTGTGTGTGTGTGTGTGTGTGTGTGTGTGTGTGTGTGTGTGTGTGTGTGTGTGTGTGTGTGTGTGTGTGTGTGTGTGTAGGATGATAAGTTGATCTTGGAGGCTCCTTCCTCTCAGCCCACATCTGGATCTAAACGTCAGCGCAGAGACACGACCAACGACCTGCTGGACCTCGTGGTAAACACAAACTTCCCTTCATGTGTTGAGTTCCTTCGGATTTTTTATTTTTTGTAACTTAATATTTGTATAACTAGCATTCTGTCTCTCTTTAGGTGAAGTTCGGTCACGGGGAGTGGAAGGTGGGCTCCGTTTACTACGCTCAGAGTAAAGACATCCCTCTGGAGATCATCATCCCCTCAGTGATCATCCCCATGCTCTTCTTCATCGCCATCTCCGTCTACTGCTACAGGTCAGAGATAAACATCAATTAGACGTGTGTAGGGGTGTGTGTAGGGGTGTGTAATATATCTCATTGTGTGTGTGTGTGACAGGAGGAAGAGCCAGCAGGCGGAGCGGGAATACGAGAAGGTGAAACACCAGCTGGAGAATCTGGAGGAGAGCGTCCGGGACCGCTGCAAGAAGGAGTTCACAGGTACTCAAATATACACAAATATTACAACCTGAGACGAGCTTTAGGTGCTTCTCCCCTCAGGCTGTGAAACATTCTGCTCAAAAGATGCATTGAAGACATGAAATTAAGTTTTATTTATCTGTCATTTTAAATGTGTTTTCATTTTTAAATGTTAGATAAGATAATTCTTTATTCATCCTGAAGGAAATTGTTGTGCCAGAGAAACAAAATACAATTAACACAGCAGCACAAAGAACAATTAAACATCCACAGACAACATGAAACACAGATGGTCACACAATCAATGCAATCATTATTAGCAGTATTTAGTAGTGCAGAAAATAAAACGTAGTGGCAGTTACGTAATTGCACGTTATCATAGCATTATTAATAATACTAATAATATAATATTGCACATAGTTATATATATAGCAGCGAGTGTATTGTAATGATGCTAATTATATTGATATGTATTATAGTGTGAAAAACCTGAATTATCTTTTAAAGTATTTGTTTTTTAAGTTTAAATATGATTTAACCTATACATATATACAACTTATATCTTGGTAACTTTATTCATTGTAATGCTCTTTTCTAAAGCTAAAGCTAAAAATACACCGGAGACTGCTTTGGATATTGTAACTACGCAAGGAACAAAACTCAAAGTGGTTACCTGTTACAAATACCTGGGTATCTGGTTTGATGATTGTCTCACTTTTAAACTTCATGGAAATAACCTGCTTAAAAAGCTGAGGGTTAGGCTAGGTTTCTTTTACAGAAATAAGTCCTGTTTCTCGCTTGAGGCCAGGAAAAGGCTCTGAGACCTTTTGACCTGTGCTGGACTATGGTGATTTGTTATATATGAATGCACCTGCCAATTACCTGAGCAAGTTAGATGCTGCGTATCACAGTGCACTGAGATGTTTGACGAATTGCAAAGCACTTACGCATCACTGTACCCTGTATACCAAGGCAGTTATGCCATCACTTACTGTACGGAGGCTCAGTCACTGGTACTTTTTCATTTACAAAGCCATGTTGGATAAACTACCATCTTATATCTGCTCCCTGATCTCTCTGCGAATTGAAAGTACTTATTGCCTGAGATCGCATGCTGTGGTTTTATTAAATGTGCCAAGTGCTAGGACTGTCTTAGGGAAGAAAGCTTTTAGATGTGCAGCTCCACTAACATGGAACAGTCTGCAAAAAGAATGGAGAATTACCAAGCTAGTACCACTACATGTTTTTAAAGCTCGGTTGGATGCTACACAATCAGATGCTGTTGGTACCTGTACTTGTGGTTAAATATGTAAATTGTAATCCCTGTACATTTTGCTGAATGATGTCCTTTTGTTGTTCTGTTGTTTATGTCTTCTTGTGGAACCTACTGCTGCAGCTCTCCCTTGAAAAAGAGATCATTGATCTCAATGGGATTTTACCTGATAAATAAAGGTTTTGAATTGAATTGAACATTTTACAGCAAAAAACGGTGAATGTTTTAAATTTGAAGAATTTCTTAACAGAATAATAAAAAATAATTTATAATATTAATAAATAAACAATAATAATTTTATAAATTAGAATAACACAATATTAATAAAAATACAAATAAAAATGATTTTCTGTTTCCCCTCTGTTCCCGTCAGACCTGATGATAGAGATGGAGGACCACACCAGCGATCTGAGCGAGGCGCGGATCCCCTTCCTGGATTATAAAACGTACACCGACCGGAACTTCTTTCTGCCCACGAAGGACGGCTCGGACGACACCATGATCACCGGGAAAATACAAATCCCAGAAGCCCGAAAGGCCATCGTGGCTCAGGCTCTGAACCAGTTCTCCAACCTGCTGAACAGCAAACCCTTCCTCATCAACGTGAGAGAAACACGGCTAATCCATTTATTGTTCCCGTTGACATTTACTCTAGCACCTCCATGAGTTTAAATATTGTATATAAGCATCTTTGAGCACTAGGAAAAGCGCTGTAAAATGAAATGTATTATTATTATATATAATAAGGAGAATATGTCTAATTCTGTATCAGCTTTTATCTGATTTTTTCACTTTTACTGGTGGAAATCGGCTTTCTTAATTACAAATATGAACCCAAAGATAATAAAATAACGAAATTACAATTATTATTATATTTACTATCACTATATTTTCCCTTTAATGGATTATGAGCTGCATTCAGACTTCTTCCCAAGATCAATACGTCTCTTCGTGGCTCAAACACAGCCATGTCTTTAATATAAACCCCTCTGTATTTATGTCCCGTAGTTCATCCGTACGTTGGAGAGCCGTCCGGACTTTAACGCCCGTGCTCGCGGTTACTTCGCCTCTCTGCTGACGGTGGCGCTGCACGGGAAGCTGGAGTATTACACCGACATCATGAGGACGCTGCTGCTGGAGCTGATGGACGAACACGTGCAGAACAAAAACCCAAAACTCATGCTGCGCAGGTCAGGAAGCACGAGAACTCACGCTAGAAACATTCAGTTATTTACACAAGAGTACACACATCCGTTACTCCAGTAGAAGTACAGATACTCGTGTTTAAAAGTACTCTGGTGAAAGTAGAAGTACTGACTAAACTTCTTTACTCAAGTCAAAGTAAAGAGGCTTTGAAATGTACTGTCCTTAGACCCTCTGTCCTTAGACCCTCTGTCCTTAGACCCTCTGTCCTTAGACCCTCTGTCCTTAGACCCTCTGTCCTTAGACCCTCTGTGCTTAGACCCTCTGTCCTTAGACCCTCTGTCCTTAGACCCTCTGTGCTTAGACCCTCTGTCCTTAGACCCTCTGTCCTTAGACCCTCTGTCCTTAGACCCTCTGTCCTTAGACCCTCTGTCCTTTGGCCCTCTGTCCTTAGGCCCTCTGTCCTTAGACCCTCTGTCCTTAGACCCTCTGTCCTTTGACCCTCTGTCCTTAGACCCTCTGTCCTTTGACCCTCTGTCCTTAGACCCTCACATCGTACAAGGAAACACTTCCAGAGAAACCCACAGTTTAAAGGGAACATGGGAGAAACCTCAGGGAGAGCAACAGAGGAGGGATCCCTCTCCCAGGACGGACAGACGTGCAATAGATGCCGTGTGGAAATCCAAGAGATAATACATTTTACAGCAAATAGACCGAATGTTAGGAAATGCATGTGTCTGTAATAAGAAGATGAATCCACGAGGAATCCTCTCTATGGAGCACCTGTAGAAGGTCAGGATCCTCTCTAGCACCTGTAGAAGGTCAGGATCCTCTCTAGCACCTGTAGAAGGTCAGGATCCTCTCTAGCACCCGTAGAAGGTCAGGGTCCTCTCTAGCACCTGTAGAAGGTCAGGATCCTCTCTAGCACCTGTAGAAGGTCAGGATCCTCTTTAGGGTGCACCCGTAGAAGGTCAGGGTCCTCTCTATGGAGCACCTGTAGAAGGTCAGGATCCTCTCTAGCACCTGTAGAAGGTCAGGATCCTCTTTAGGGTGCACCCGTAGAAGGTCAGGGTCCTCTCTATGGAGCACCTGTAGAAGGTCAGGATCCTCTCTAGCACCTGTAGAAGGTCAGGATCCTCTCTAGGGTGCACCTGTAGAAGGTCAGGATCCTCTCTAGGGTGCACCTGTAGAAGGTCAGGATCCTCTCTAGCACCTGTAGAAGGTCAGGATCCTCTCTAGCACCTGTAGAAGGTCAGGATCCTCTCTAGGGTGCACCTGTAGAAGGTCAGGATGCTCTCTATGGAGCACCTGTAGAAGGTCAAGATCCTCTCTAGGGTGCACCTGTAGAAGGTCAGGATCCTCTCTAGGGTGCACCTGTAGAAGGTCAGGATGCTCTCTATGGAGCACCTGTAGAAGGTCAGGATCCTCTCTAGGGTGCACCTGTAGAAGGTCAGGATCCTCTCTAGGGTGCACCTGTAGAAGGTCAGGATCCTCTCTATGGTGCACCTGTAGAAGGTCAGGATCCTCTCTAGGGTGCACCTGTAGAAGGTCAGGATGCTCTCTATGGTGCACCTGTAGAAGGTCAGGATCCTCTCTAGGGTGCACCTGTAGAAGGTCAGGATCCTCTCTAGGGTGCACCTGTAGAAGGTCAGGATCCTCTCTAGGGTGCACCTGCAGAAGGTCAGGATGCTCTCTATCACCTGTAGAAGGTCAGGATCCTCTCTAGGGTGCACCTGTAGAAGGTCAGGATGCTCTCTATGGTGCACCTGCAGAAGGTCAGGGTCCTCTCTATCACCTGTAGAAGGTCAGGATCCTCTCTATGGTGCACCTGCAGAAGGTCAGGATCCTCTCTAGGGTGCACCTGCAGAAGGTCAGGGTCCTCTCTATCACCTGTAGAAGGTCAGGATCCTCTCTATGGTGCACCTGCAGAAGGTCAGGATCCTCTCTAGGGTGCACCTGTAGAAGGTCAGGGTCCTCTCTATGGTGCACCTGCAGAAGGTCAGGGTCCTCTCTATCACCTGTAGAAGGTCAGGGTCCTCTCTAGGGTGCACCTGTAGAAGTTGCAGAGTATCCTGGAGTCCATGTTGAACCTCCTCAGCCTGCGGAGGAAGAAGAGCCGCTGTCGAGCCGTTATGGTGGTGGTGGTGGTGTGAAGAGTCCTTGTCAGGTCCTCAGTGATGAGGAGCTTTGATAGATTTTTTAAATTACAAAATGTATAATAATTAAACATGTTTTCTCCAGATTGTTGAACTGTCCCTTTAAAATAGTGTGTGTGTGTGTGTGTGTGTGTGTGTGTGTGTGTGTGTGTGTGTGTGTGTGTGTGTGTGTGTGTGTGTGTGTGTGTGTGTGTGTGTGTGTGTGTGTGTGTGTGTGTGTGTGTGTGTGTGTGTGTGTGTGTGTGTGTGTGTGTGTGTGTGCAGGTCGGAGACGGTGGTGGAGAGGATGCTCTGTAATTGGATGTCCATCTGTATCTATCAGTTCCTCAGGGTAACGGATATATATATATTTGTATTTTCTTCCTCTCCGTTTCTTTTGACTGTTCTTCGATCTGTTTCTCTCTCTCCTTCCTCTCCAGTTATAATTGCCTCTTTCTTTGTTCCTTCTGTCTCTCTTTTCTGTGGAAATCAGTTGTGTTGCCCCTTGTGTTTTAGTTTGTTTGTGCTTTTGGGAACCACCAACAGCAGCAGCTCAGAGTTTCTGTAATGGAACATCCTCATACCAGAAAGTGTGTTTGTTATGTTGGGTTAAAAATCTGCAGCTCAATAAGTTTATTCCCTAAACCCTGAATAAGTCCTGCCAGTATCCAAACATATCTTTTTTATAATTATGTTTAATTGCAGTATAGATTACGTCTATTATATTTCATTTGTAATGTGTGATATGATCGTGTGACCAGGACACGGCAGGGGAGCCTCTCTACAAGCTGTTCAAGGCTCTGAAGCATCAGGTGGAGAAAGGGCCGGTGGACGCCAAGATGAAGAAAGCCAAATACACTCTGAACGACACGGGGCTGCTGGGAGACGACGTGGAGTACTCAGTACTGGTAAATACACATAATATACACCCAGTACACACATAGTACACACTCAGGACACATAGTATACACTCAGGACACACACAGTATACGCAATACACACAGTACACACAGTACACACACAGTATACACCCAGGACACATAGTATACACCCAGGACACATAGTATACACTCAGGACACACACAGTATACGCAATACACACAGTACACACACAGTACACACAGTATACACCCAGGACACATACAGTATACACCCATTACATACACAGTTCACACACAGTATACACACAGTACACACAGTATACACACAGGACACATAGTATACACCCAGGACACCCATTTTACACACAGTATGCACACAGTACACACCCAGGACACACACAGTATACACAATACACACAGTACACACACAGTACACACAGTTTACACCCAGTTCACACACAATACACACCCAATATACACTAAGTACACACAGTATACACCCTGTACACACAGTACACCCAGTATACACACAGTACACACAGTATACACCCAGGACACATAGTATACACCCAGGACACCCATTTTACACACAGTACACACACAGTACACACAATACACCCAGTATACACACAGTATACACACAGTACACATACTATTTTATCAATCACACATTATTAGTTGCAGGCAGCCCAGTTTGCTTATAGTAGCAGATGTGCTTTTTTAAGGGTTTCAAAGGTGTGTGTGTGTGTGTGTGTGTGTGTGTGTGTGTGTGTGTGTGTGTGTGTGTGTGTGTGTGTGTGTGTGTGTGTGTGTGTGTGTGTGTGTGTGTGTGTGTGTGTGTGTGTGTGTGTGTGTGTGTGTGTGTGTGTGTGTGTGTGTGTGTGTGTGTGTGTGTGTGTGTGTGTGTGTGTGTGTGTGTGTGTGTGTGTGTGTGTGTGTGTGTGTGTGTGTGTGTGTAGACTCTGCAGGTGTTGGTCCACGGGGAGGGTCCTGACGTGACTCCAGTGAAGGTGTTGAGCTGCGACTCCATCACACAGGTGAATGCACTTACTGGTAGGCGATATACGATAAACGTTTCGTGAGGTACATTTTAAACGTGTGGTCCTGCAGGTGAAGGAGAAGATCATCGACCAGGTGTACAGGAACCTGCCGTACTCTCAGAGACCAGAGGTGGAGAGTGTTGCTCTGGGTACGACACACACACACACACACACACACACACACACACACACACACAAGTAAAAATTATTATATTTCTAGAAATAAGATAAGTTGATGTTACAAATTAGGTGTGTGTCGCCTCCTGCTGGTTCATGGTGGAACTGCAGGGTTACTGTGAGACTTAGTGGAAGAAAGAAATAAGGAAATTATATTTAATTTAAGGACGAAATTAGATTTTCTTTCGTTTTTTTACCTATTTTAATGCATTTTTCTCTTTTCATCATTTCAAATTGTTAGTTTTTAGGGATCTTTGTTGTCTTTTCTTTGCCATGTAGTATACTTCAGTGCCTTTGACTTTTTTGTATCTATAAAAAACATTATTATAAAACACCATATTCTGAAAAACACTCATTAAATGTATTTCCTCACGTTTCCTCAGAGTGGCGTCCGGGCTCCACGGGTCAGATCCTGTCTGACCTCGACCTGACCTCTCAGAAGGAAGGACGCTGGAAGAGACTCAACACGCTCGCTCACTACAACGTGAGATACTTTGATATTTGTAATGTGGTGCAAAAACACAAAGGTTGTTGTTTGTCAGAATCAGAAACAGGTTTATCTCCAGGTCGGTTGACACGTACGAGGAATTTGACTTGATGTCGTGGTGCGTACATAAAAGTCAAACAAAAATTAAAAACACAGGTAGAGAATAGAGATGTCCCGATCCGATCACGTGATCGGAGCCGATTACGTGATTTTCAAAAGATCGGAATCGGGAGAAAAAAATTCGGGGATCTTGAATTTTTTATTTTTTTTAGCAAATATTTTTATGATTTTATTTAATGTTACAAAACAAAAATGACCATGTTCACGTCTTAACGTCATCCTGAGGCCTTAGTTTTGGTTTAAAATGACACAACATCATGTATGTGTTGCTTCTGTTGGGCTTGCTT